CCAATACAGCTCGGTTCTGACTCCCAGCTTCCAGCTTTTCCAAAGCCACATTCCTTGTTTGTGTACGCTAACTAGGTTCCACATTTTCTGTTGACTGTTGAACTACAACCTCTATCAAAGAACTGCTCAGCTCTGAAATCAGAATGAGGAGGGCAGACATTGGAGGGAACCAGAGGAATGGGATCAGCTGGGAGGAACCTGATTGGTTCATCTCTAACAGGAGTTTCTGTTTGTTAGCTGACAGCACAATGAAGAAAATCTTCGTTCCAGATGCTTGTTTAGCTTCCTTTTTCTGCCAGCAAATCAAATTGAATGAATGTGTGAACCTCCGTTTTCTATGTACTATTAGTGACATTTCTAGCATCATGTGGAGGAAATCTAACCTGTATAAAAATGTCTGTTAGTTGCATTCATGACACTCTTTGGAAGGATGGAGATAAAATGTTTAAGAAAGCTTCTCTCTTTGAAGCGGACCGTCCAGTCTGGATGTATCAATGCCTCCTGTATCAAGTGATGTGGGAGTGACCGATGTGGTGAACGGTGTGTGTGTGCAGGTGATCCACAAACATTTCTACCTGAAGAGAACCGAGATCATGTCTCAGTGTGAGGAGTGGATCGCTGACATCCAGCAGTACAGCAACGACAAGCGGGTCGGCCGCACCATGTCCCACCATGCAGCTGCTCTCAAGGTACTCTCACTCAGTCAGAACACACACACACACACACACACACACACACACACACACACACACACAAAGAGCGGTCCAAAAAAACACTGAAAACCCCAACATGCCCGAGGAAAAGAGCATGTTTGTTCACTATATATTGTGCTAACAGCAGTTGGTATTCGTCAGCAACTCACTGGTGTTGTGCAACATAAATAATTATCCAAGCAGAGGACATGGTGCCAAATAGTAAACCATAATTCCTCGAGGCAGATAATTTGCCTTGAGGAATTTTAATATTTGGTAACACTTTATTTGAAGGGGTGTGCATAAGATTGACATGACACTGTCATAAATACGACATAACACCTATCATGAACATGAAGGAGTCTTTATGAATGTTTATGACTGTTGTCATAAAGTGTCATTCGGTAAATAATGACACTTTTAATGCAAAGTTGCTCTAAAAGTTGCATTGAAAGTCCATTAAAAATGCCAATTTTGCATTAAATTGTCATAATTTACAAAATCATAAAAAGTCATTTCGGTAAACTAGCCACTCTGACTGTCCCAGCCTTCCTGCTGCAGCTCTCAGGTCTTAAGAGGTCCAGCCCAGTCCTCACCCTAAACCTGGCCACCTGACAGCTGGGTGCTGTGGTCATGTTTGGGTGAACAACAGCCTTCCTAATAAATGTGTGTGTGTGTGTGTGTGTGTGTGTGTGTGTGTGTGTGTGTGTGTGTCCCTGCAGAGACACACGGCCCAGCTGAGGGAGGAGCTGCTGAAGCTGTCCTGTCCCGACGGCCTGGAGCCCGACGGAGATGAGTTCTCTGAGAAGAGCGCCGCGCTCATCCTCAAAGACCTGTCCAGTCAGGACACAGAAAAACCCACCGGCAGTCAGGACAGCCACTGCAGTGAGGGCCAGCTATGAGCCCACCCACCAGGCCACTCGGACCCCACTGACCCTCCCGCCCGCCCCATCTTTTCCAGCATCTTCGGCCCCCTCACCTTCCTCTTTCTGATGATTACTCTGTAAAGACTGGATGGCTTTGAGAGGGCGAGCCATCACTTTGTCAATATTTGTATGTAAAGATCTAATTGCAGAATAGTAGTGGAGGGAGCTCAAGTACCAGAAAGCCGATGAGACAAACTCTGAACTATGCTATGCCCTTATTAAAGAGTCAAGAAAAACTTTTATTCACCTGTAAAAGACTGTAAACATTTTGTGCTTTTTTTTCCAATTGTGAAATAACCACTGATTGGTATGTTATTAAACTTGTTTATGTATACATAATGGCAGAGGAAAAAATGACAGATTATATAAGGGAAACTACCTTTAGAGAAGAATGTTTACTGAATGTTAAGTCCTTTTTTTTCTTTTTGTTTTTCTTTTTCTTTTTTTTTGGGTGGGGGGTTGTTTTTGGGACTGATAGAGAGGTGATAGTTGGAACCAAGGATATATTGGTCATTCTTAAAGCATATTATTTAAAAGAAGAAAACACACAGGAAAGTGACTCTCGGAAAAACCTCTGGAGATCCCACGCTACCTTTGATTTGTCTTGGATCATATCCACTTCAATAAGGTTTGAGATGGACATTTTTAACTCATGTTATATCCCTTTTACAGGCTCCAAATTAAAAGGCTTAACCACACTCTGGATCAGCATTTGTCGCCTCTTAGAACTTCTCCATGACTGCTTTCCATTCACACGACTGTAGACGGCCAGATCGGGAAATGTACTTTAAAGGCTTGTGCATGTGTCTGTGTGTTTTCTGTGCGTGTGCAACAATCCCCCGTGAGATACAAAAGCTGTGATGTGCCTTTGATCTACACCATACCACCAAATACTCCCAACAGAGTACCTTTGCTGAATAATCTATTTCTACAGATTTCTGCTCCGTCTAGCTAAAGAAAACTGCTTTGATTTGATTTTATTATGTTGAAACAGCAATGGAAAAAAAAAAGCACTTTCTATTTTACTCACTCCTTAGTACAGTCACATAATCCTTTTGCTAGGACATTAAATGGAGCTTGAAAATATGGACTGATTGTGCGAATGCTTATTTTTTTTGTTTAGCAGGATGTCCACTTCTGCCCTGCAAGAGCTTGTTTTGTCACGGAAAGTAAATTATAGTTTGGGGTCAATTTGTTACTGGAAAATTCCTTGTGATGACGTCAGAATTCTCAAAGACGACCAGCTTTGTTTCCCTGTGTGAAACGGAGGCCAGCAGCCTAGTTCTGAGTTTTACTCTAAAGCTTCTCATATGTTCACTAAATAGTGATGCATTTCCAGCATTCATGACAGTTTATCTCATGTTAGAGCAGGGCTGGAAAATAAATCAAAGTATATCGTGATAGACACATTACCCGTATCAATACATCTGATGGATGTATTGATGCATCCATCAGATGTATCGATACAGAGTTTACTGATAGAATATTCACTGAACTCCAGTCCAGAACCACACAAGGTTCTGGAAGATGTAGGCAAAGGAAAGGCTTTAACTGCTCAACCTCTTATGGCATCAACTTGTTCAGTCTTTGGTTACCTAGCAACGACCTGTAGAGTAACTTGCACAGCAGCAGTTTCATGTTTTGCCTTCGTGCCTCATAACTGCTTAAAAATAGTGAAAACGGGAAAGGTCACCCCACCAGCTTGCCAGTATTTTAATTATTTAAAACAATAATTATCTATTGACAATTATCAACATCAGTTAATATGAAACGCTTACATCGTGATGTTTTTCAGCCATATTGTCCTGCCTTATGACAAGGTATATTTAATCAATAGTTTTTCACAGAATTGTGAGCCTACCGAAAATTCTAGGCTACATGTTAAGTTCTTTGTTAAAGCCGTTGCATGAATTCCTGCATCAGTGCAGCATGGCATGGAGGTAATGGTGGTCTTCAGCTTGTTTGCGTTGCTAGCTCTGGTGTCTGTGACTTTGACCGGTGGAGGTTCAAGGTTTAAAAGGAGGTGTGACAATAACATGAGGTAGAGGTGGAGTTACTTAAGAATTGCAGGAAAACCCTTTGGTTATCCTGTTTCTGGACACGGGTTTCCAGGATGGCCTCATCTCCTCCCTGGACAGGTGCTTGGGCACTTTGTCAAGGAAGTGCAGAGCCTGTATGAGCACAATGAGGGAGTTGCCCAGTATGACATTTGTTGGAGGTTGTTTCAAATGGAGCTGGCGTTGGAGGAACTATTTTATGGGCGTCCTCTCTCCCCATCAGGCTTTCAGCTGAGTGTGAGCCTTGGGACTAACACTGTGAACCCCAAGAGCCTTACGCATAACCGAGGCTTTATTGGGTTGGTGCCACACTCAGCTGGAAGTGCTGGCGAGGTCCCACCACCCTTAGAGCATTGGAAGCAAAATGACCTCCAAACCAAGCGTCCGAAGTGCATCTTTCCTGTGTGCCAAGCACTTGACGCAGCATCTGCTGTTCTGGGTGTTAGGATGGTTCCTCTCTTGCTTTGCGACATCTTATGAAAAAACGTGGACATCCCTTTTGCAGCGCTCAAAGCAGAAAAACCACCAGTATAAACCTTGAGGTTTTCTGTGAAGATCTGAGCACCAAGAAGAGCTTCCCAGCGCCGAACACTTTTGGGAGAGCTAGGGAGATGCACCTCAGCAGAGTGGATGTGAGGAAACACACCAGAAAAAAACTGTCGCTTTTTGCTACCATTCGTAGCTCCCCGTGTGTGGAGCCCATTACAAGTGTACTGTAAACATGTTTTTACCACAATTTACTATTGTTGATATGAGAAGCGGCCATATTGGTTCTCAAAGTCAGAGTCTGAAAAATGTTCCTACAAAAATATAAAAACAGGTTTAAAAACAACCAGATAGATAGATAGATTGATTTCTGAGTGGGAAGTCTGACTTCGGGGAGAGGGTTCTTCCAGTTGATTTTAATTTTTTTTTAAAACAGAATGCAGCATATGGTTTTGTGTAATCTCATTCTTTAATGTCACATGTTTATAAAAAATGGTCAACACAAAATAGCTTGAAAAAATTAAAACCACATTCACCCCCAAATATTTGAATTATTTATTTTGTCTCGTTTTAAAAAAATTACTTTTGTCACTCTTGTATATTTATAATTTAACTGTGTACATACAAATATTAATATCCCCAATAGAACATACGCCAAAATATAAAACTTAACTAAAATATGAAACAAAGGATTTGAAAACATTGTCATTGTGAATCAAATTAAGCAAAACACTAACTTGTAGCAACGAGCGACAGAAAGCTGGAAGCTGCTTTTCAACAGGATAAGCGTCACAAAGTGTTTTGCCCTGTGCCCAGATATAACTAGATCCGCCTCTGCGTTTTCGTGCAGGCACGGTTTCATTGCTTTTCCCAGAATGCAATGCGCATCTGTCATGGCTGCTTACTGACGCTTCTGTCGGCACATGGATAGCTAGAAACAATCTCTGTCAGATTCAGGCGTTGTGATTCGCCTCAGTAAACAGGGTACCTGGAGCTGGGTCTGGTGTGGGACCATCCTGGCTGCACGCAGGAGATCCAGCCGACGTTCAGCAGAAACGAACAGTCATGTTGATCAGCGTAGAGATTCCAGTACTGAGAGGCTTTCTGACAGCCAGCGAGGCTACGAATTGGACACAAGACATCGTTACTGATGCAGGTGAGACATCCACATGTTTATTTCATGGGCTTAACACCGCCTCGGCATCCGATTAATGTTGCCATTAAGGGGCATTAACTTAATTTTCAACATAATTGGCTGAAATTTTTTTTATTATAGGATGGTGAATCTGGGGGCGACAGTGTCGGAATTAAATATCTTAGCCCTATTTGCACAGCGTTAAGGGTTTGTCTTTTTCTCGAGTGAACACAACATAGACCCATTTAAAAACTGGACTGTATTTACCTTAAGGTTGTGCAATAAAATATCAACTTGAGAGACGTGTATATTTATACATGCAAAATAAAGCAGGTTTCTAAAGAGAGCATCATCTGTCTTAGCCGGTCTGTTCTATTCGAGTTGTCTGTTAGTAAGTGATAGTTTTACATGTTAAATCTTGTCGCTGAACAGTAGTTAAGATAGCTAAAGATGAAAGAAAGAGCCGACCCCGTATGGCCGTCTCGTGCTCAGTCTCTGCGCTCTCACGCGGTATCTCAACCGGACCACGAGAACATGAACATCAGGGACAGATGTGGGAACATGCTTGTGGTACTTCTTATAACAGAAGTATACCTGCTTGTATACTCGCAGAGTATAACAGAAAAATATTTGGTGTTGGTTGGTGTTAAATTAGAAAGCTCCTAAGTGTCTCGTACCGAGCTGTGCCTCGATAACAGTCCTTACATCCCTCTGCGCCGAACTTCAAAGGCATGTTTGGCTACTTTTATTCCCATTTGGATTCATGGATATTCCCTCCTTATCGCTTTCTTGTTAAAGGTGTTCTCTGTAATCAGTCACCCTCCGTATTGGTCACCCAGTGGCGCCTCAACAGTGGAGAAAAATTATATTTTTTCTTCTCTCATTCAATTCATGATGAGCCAAGGAAATCCCAGCTCTACCTGCAATCCCAGTAAACCAGGAAATCTGTTAATTTTTATTTTACTTATTTTTAAGCAAGCAAGCCAAAAATAAAAATAATAAATATAACTAATTTCTGAATTTTCGTCACTTCACTTGTAAATTTAATCCACTAACCAGCCGAATTTGGAAATGAAAGCTGGGGTAGATATTTCAACTCGAGCTCTTCATTTTGAATGTTTCCATACCCCCATTTGAACTGAAACATTGAAAAAGTTCAGTGCATCTTTAAAACATGTTACAAGTCACACAACGTCCCTGCTGGCTTTCAGCAGCAGGCGGAATCAAACAGATATAAAATTGCATATATCTACAATATTGCAAAAATACTGTTTTTACTAAGTTCAAGCCAATTTCTTCACAAGAAAAATTGAGTGTAATAAAATGTTTTTTCTTTACTTTATCTTGAGAGGATTTTAAGTTTAAAATTCAGCATGTTGAAGCACTTTAGATGTTTATCATAAGTTCTTTTACAATTCTGCTTCAAATAAAGAACATTGTTAGTCATTTACTAGGCAATATTGCTTTTGATGGACAGTATGTTTTTTAAAGTGAATCTGTAACACTGTGACGTTAACTCAATGTGATTAAAAACTGGGGTGCACCTAACTTTTGTTTTGGCACACCAGGACAAGAAGTTAGTGTAGAGTCCTGTCCTAATGACTTGTGGATAGAAACATCTTGAGTCTCCTTGCATTTGTCAAGAGATTCCTGTTTCTCCTTCTGATTACAGAATGTTGATAGGATGGGATGGCACAGGTCAGAGGTGACTAGTCAGTCATACCAGGGAGTGAGAGAACCTGCTGTAATACTCTCTGTGATAACCCTTTGGAAGTTGTTGAGTATCCTGGAGGCCTTGCCAGCTCTCCTCAGCTTCTACTTGGGTAGAGTAGTCATCTTGTGATCAGAAGGTTGTAGGTTCGATTCCAGCATAGGGTTAGGGTTACATGTCTCTGTGCCTATCGATGTATGAATGGGTGAATGCGACTCTAGTGTAAAGCGCTTTGAGTGGAAAAGCGGCATTCTGGATAAATACAACCAAAACAGACGCAAGAGTCTTATTGAGTCTTAGTGGGAGAAATGACTCATTGTTCTTTGTCAAAAACAAAAGAGAAATCCTGCAAACGCTAATATGATTCCATTCCATTTGGTGAGAAGGAGGGTTCAGTGTCCTTTTCAAACGTTTTCGTGTCAATTCCTGCTGTGGTTCTTGGTGCAGCGCTACCACAGGCCAGGAGGGCGAAAAGTTACTCAAAGGAATTGGTTTGTTTGACTCAGTGCAGTGTGAAGGAGAACCACAGCCTCTGAAATGATAACAAATGTTGCAACTTTGGTCCCAATCGAACCGTTTGTACTAGACTATCAGATTTGAAAATGACCTTTAGTTTTCTAGCACTTTTGAATTTGTTGAACTGTTTAGGGAATTTACAGCTGTTGCTATAAAAGTGAGAAAAATTAGGCTCGTGACTATCAACTGATAATCCAGAAGTTGTGTTATCCTGTTGTGTATATCGAATCTTACATCACCGTACTTGGGACAGTGGTTGGGTCAGTGACTCCTCAAGGACATGTGGAGGCACTGTGGGGCTGGGGAAGGAACCAGTAACACCGGTTAGTGGGCTTTTACAGTCGTCTTTATAGCTGCACCATTATGGCATTAGATATAATTAAAAGGAGAGGGATGGGTTGTCCACCCAACCCGGGATGGGTTTAGAGGTGAGTTGCTGAAAGTCTTTATGATAGGACTGCACGATGGCGCAGTGGGCAGATAGAAAAGTCCTGGGTTCAAATCCCGGCCTGGCCTGAGGTCATTCTGCATGTTCTCTGTTGTTCATATGTTGGTTCTCCCCAGATACTCTGGCTTCCTCCTGCCGTCCAAAAACATGACTATTGGCTTATTTACTCTATGCATGCATGGTTGTCTGTTACTCATTTCAACATGGTGTGGGAAAAAATGGGTCAGTTTTACCAAGAATCAAAAGTTAAAACACCAGCTCTGCTGTTTGCAGTTTTAGAGAGTTTGTTCTAATTAATCTTAAATTTCTTGTTTCGCAGATGAAATAATGTTCTTGTTTAATTAAAGGCATAAATCATCATTCCAGCCAGCGCTTTGAAAATTGCGTATTGTAATTTCTTTATCTCTAGTGCAGAATACAGAAGCTGCATTTGAAACCAGAATTACTCGCAGCACTGTCTGTAATTACTCCTGTCGACCTCTTATTTATCAGATTACCATTATACTCCAGTTGTTTACTAACATTATGGTAATTGCTCAGCAGGAGAAACCGGAACAGATTATACAGATTAGGATTGTTTGGACCTGCTTTAGACAGCCCGGTGTTATTTCTCTGAACCTCCTTATTGCAAAATGAGTTTTAATTTCAGTGATGTGTGAAAAGGAGAGGCCTTTTCAAGTCAGCTGCAGAGCAGTATTAAGGCAGCAGAAACCTCTGGAAATGATCTGACCCCCCACACCCAAATTCCCCTCAACAGACCACCAGCAGGATTCCCAGCAGTGCCCTTGTGAGCCATCTTGGGTCTACGTTGTTGCCCAGCTTTGTGCGCTTCTGCAGATTCCATGCACAGCAAGCCTAATTAAGGGCAGCTTATTTCACTAACCTTTTCTGAGTTATGAACTAATTTGAGGGCCTCTCCTTTGTTTTCCATAATTGCTGCCTTTTCATCGGCATGCCTGAAGAGGAGCGGAGGTTTCATTAAACGTGTGGCCGTACCCCAGCCATTCATTTCCCCTCTCATAAAGCCGGGGCTGGCTCATTCTCCTGCTTGTCCTCTACCTCCCCACCCCCTCCTCCTGCTCTCATGGCGGCCCCTGGGTTTCATTAGATCAGCAATGAGATGAGAATCTCCGCAGCTCCTTTACAATGCCAGCAGCACCTTATTAAAGCCAAGGGTACTGTGAAGGGGTCGTCTGATTGACTAATGGAGGCGTCTGCAGGCAGGCAGGGAATCTGACTTCATGACAGAAGCAGAGGCTAACTTTGACTCGGTGACAGAAGGCAGGTAGGTCTACAACCCGGATCAGGACTTGATCTTTTGAGTCATGTAAAGGGAACCCCAACCTGGTATCTGGAATCAGACCTTTTTTTCGACGTGGTTATGTTTTCTAAATAGGCAGTCTGTGGTTATGTCATCAGAGGAGATATTGAGAACATAGTTGTCTGGCCTGCTTTCTAAGTGTGGAGGAGGTAAATGGAAAAAGGCAAGAAGAAACCACGACCATGGTGATGAATAAAGACCCTTTGCTGTAGGGATTGATCATGTATTGCTCCGATAAGTAAAATTGTGTGGAAATTAACAACCGATATTTATTCCCATCTTGCTGCCGTTTGTTTCTGGAGGCGGTCTCTGTTTGGTCATGTGACTGTTGTATATCTCTATCACTGCTTCAGTTAAAATCCCCACGATCCTTTGCTGTCACCATCACAGGGCCCACATGACCAGTCTCCTCTACTCCACCTCCTCAGACAAACGGCAACAAGATGGAAATAAATAACTTTTTAAATTTTTGGCTTAGTTTTTATTTATTTCTTTATTTTTTTCCGGACCGATAACGCGATAAAAAATTACTATTGGTCTATGCGTTTGTAGATCACCTCGGATATAGTAGTGCATACCTGAAGCAACATTGTGTAGCGTATTGTCAGCTTGCGCTGTTAAAAGTCCACCGTGCTTCATGGAAGACGGCAGGAAGGTGGATCTGTTGGGTCAGACCAGCCCTGGAGTTCCTTCAGCCATAAACAAAATGTTGCTGGCTTTAGTATTCTTGGCATGCTGAGCTGTCTGCTCTTGCCTTGAATTTAATGGATGTTTTCATGTAGGTGTGTGTGTGGCACTGTTTGTTAATGTGGCCAGGTTCTATTCTACAGCTCTGAACACCTCTTCCTCCTCCTCCTTCTCTTCCTCCTCCTTTCTTGTTTGTTGTCTCCACCGGGGACCAGAATGCAATCAGTGCTAATGAGCTAACCCGGCCCCCTCCGCAAATAAAAACCTAATGAAAGACGAGGAGAGTTTCACTGGAGCAACAACGTTACTCCTTTGTTGTCCTTCTTTCTTTTTCCATCCGGGTTTGACACAAGCTGGCCGTCTGTGTCACGGCATCATGAGGGGAGGGCACTGATACTGCCACATCCTGCTGGCAGTATCAGTCTTAGAACCTAAAATGATAGAACATGAGGCACATCCCTTTTTTTTGTAAATTTATATGTATTGAAACATTTTATTATAGCAAGAACCAAACATTATGCAGGTCTGTGGAATTAAGAGATGATGTATTTAAATCTGATCATCTAATGATATTTATAACCTTTTGGTGGAATATTGTTTATATCCGTGAAGAAAGCTTTAGAAAGCAGTTCCTGTATTCATAGAACTGAAACTGGAAGGTGGCCTGATCACCTTGATGTCAGCCTTTCTCAGTTCACACACTGCAGACTTTGTGCATTATTTTTGCACACATGAGATTTGAGCATTGACTATTCATCTCCATAATTAATAGATACTTCAACAAAAAATAAAGATAAGTGTCTTGGTTTCCAAACTTTTTACAAGTATATGAAGGTTATGAAGTGACTGTAGACGAGGCCTATTATAGTAACACATTTTGCTGGACGATAAATTGGCACATAAAATATTGCTGTAAATGATAATATTGTTGTTTGGAGTCCATTATCGAGTAATATGATGGTAATGGCTACTGGAAGACATTTAAAATATCTGAAAAAATAAATAAAACAACAGAAACAACAAATAAAATGAATTATGAAGTCTCTGTAAAACAAATTGTGCTTCATGCAAATTAATATGATTGACTTCGTTTTAATTGATCGTGTGTTTAATTGATTTGTTGCTTATTGTGACAGCCCTACCACAGATATGAATTAAAGAGTCTGAGTTTTGGCCATGTCGTCTGTCTTGTTTTCAGCTGCTTTGTTGGTTTTGTTGCAGAAGCGGGGCCCTTGCTGCGGGCCCTTCTGGACGGGGACTTCGAGGCCGTGCTGCTCAGCCCTCAGGTGGCAAACGTGCTGACTGGAGACGGCAGCTGCAGAGACGGGGAGGACATAGAGGCCTACCTGGAGAGATGCCTGCTGCTGTATCTGACTGCCCATGGTGACGGTCAGCCTAACAACAGGTAGCCCAGCACGAATGCTGCTGCTCAGTCAAACTCATGTCAGATTTTCACCAGTAACTGATGGTTGGATATGTTCTCTTTTCAACTGTAAGCTCTTACAATGAGAAAAGGTGGCTGCGACTGGAGGCAGGTGGAAGTACAACTGAATAAAACGCATGCCACAGCTTTCTGATTTTCATTTATTTAAAAAAATATATTTTAAAATCAAGTTAAAACTACTGTTTTTTTGTCTTCCATTATTTCATTGTTTTATTTTTTTTAACTTTTTGGTAGGTTGATCTCAGTAAAAGCCACTGAAGGGTGTGGTTGTGATGTGTTGCAGAATTATTTTCTGAATCAGGTCATATCTTCTCCTGACACCTCCTGCTTCCTGTGTCCATTTCGTCTCTCTGATGGCTACAGTGGAACCGGTTGATAGTTTCAGAACCTCCTGAAGCTTCTGCTCACTGTGATTTGTAAAAGCCGTTTATTAAGTGAGAAAAGCCTTTTATTAAAGCGGTGGTGAGTAACTCCGGTTGTTCTGTTGCAGGGAGCTTGTTGTCTTGGCCATGGCCGTCTCCTGTCTCCACCTGTTCGCTCAGAGCAACTGGACCGGACCTCCAGTCTCTCTCCACATGTGGGACCGGCTGCCTTCGGTTCTGCTGTCCTCTCGGGTACGACGCCGTTCTGTTCCGGCTCCTCATCTCATCCTTCCTGCAGAATCTGTTTGTTGTTCTTGTGTTTTCACCCAGCAGTGAGTCTTAGAAATACGAAAGCCTTCAGATCACACTTGCATTTACTGTCTACTGTTTACTGCTGGCTTATTGGATTTAGTTTTCATAACTTTGTTTAATTTTAGCTAGTGGTGGGACTTGATTAAAAATTTTTAATTGAGTTAATTACAGGATCCGTAGTTGGTCAATTGCAGTTAATCACATTTTAATCAAAAGCTATATATTGATAAAAAATAAGCAACATTTTCAGTTTAAAACCTGTTTTTGCAGATAAATTATTGAATAAATAGACATATGAGCTCAATAATAAAGTTCTTCAGGTCCTTCAACCATCAGTTTGGTGCAACGTACATCGACAAGTTCTGAGAAAGCTTTTCACCAGCAAAAGTACAAAATACGGTTGGATAAGAAAAAGACAGCCGTAGATGGACACATTGCACCTTGGCTGCAAAAACGTTTCACATTAATCTCACAAATGGCAGGAAATATAGATACCAGTCATAAGCACATCTTCTAAAACAACCTTAATGGAGTCTAAACACACCCACCTGCTCTGTAAGACCTGCCTGACCAATCAGCAGGATGATGAATGCTGCAGCAGACCCGGCCTCCAAAATCAATATTCAACAGCTGCTGGTGAGGGTCGGTTGCTTCCTAAACACGACGAGGAAATAAGTTGGTTGGAAATGGAAGTGTGATTTCATGGCGTCACTGACCGTACGGTCTGGACATGGCCTTGACCTGACTATGTGAGCAACACCAGTGTTGTGAACATGTCAGATCTGTTCATTCCACTTCCTCAGCTTTATTATCTGCTACCTTTGCTAAGTCCTATATTTTTCGTGGATATTTAATCCAGAGTTTTCAGAGACAGATGTAGGACGACGGCGATCTGCAGACACAGGACAGGTTCCCAGTAAGGAAGCCTCTCCTGGGTCCTAATTACAGAAGCTTTCAAGGTATTGCTTCCTCAGAGAGCCTCGCATCCAGGCACGCTGTAGCAGTTATCACGCTCATATGTTTAGCATCCGTGATCTATGTACCGTCACACCGGCTGTTTCCAAGCAACCACCAAGACATGCATGACGGCACAGGTGAGACAGAGCACCAACATAGGAGGGCGTCTCTCATGTTTATATTCAGTAGTTATGTGTACGTAACCAAGACGATTGCTTCTAATAGGAAATATTTTTTCTTTTGCGAGTTTAAAGTCAAAATCCTTCCACAGGTTCCCAATCAGTTTCAAACTGCTACTTCAAAATCTTAATACTGCTTCCACTCAGATCAAACATTTCGTCCAGTTGAAAGATTACTCTAAATCTCAATCTGCCCACGGTAGGATTAATTTTGGAGCGTTGCTATGAACTTCATGTTAGGGTAATAAAATTATTTTTTCTGAATGTCTTTTAGACATCATTGTTTTCATGCAGCGGCCACTTGAGCTCACAGAAGATTTCTCTCCCTTGCAGACGGTGCTGATAGCGCTCTAAAAGTTTTTCTTCTCAAGACTTATCCAGACTGAGGCCTGGATAACCGTCTGGCAGGCAGGCAGGCTCTGTCATCTAGATCATTAATGCTTTCATAAATCAACATAATAACTTTTAGCGTAGCAGTATTTTCAAAGTAAAGCCAACACTATCATATCTGCATTAGGGCAATTATTTTAGTTCTCAATTAATCGTTCTGACCATTAATCAAATTCAAAACTTGGTACATTCTGCAGATTTTTCATTTAAGCTCTTTTTTTTTTTTTTTTGCACATTTTTTTTTCTAAAACTATGGCATTTAAGGAGTTTTTGGTAGAACATATTTACAGACAAAAGTTTTTTTTTTTAATCTTATATGAAAAATCGTTATATTTTCTGTACTGCTTAATGCTCTTGAGTGTGGTGTTCTTTAAGCAAATTTGATTATTAAATTAGTTGGTGATTATTTTAATAATCAACTTATCATGATTAATGTGATTGTTTCACCCAAAATCAACATACATTCAGTGATAACTCCAATATCATCAGCTGTTTGAAAATATTCACCATTTTACATTTTAAGTTTTTCTGGCTAAAGACATTTTCTAAAAACGATGTAATTATTCTGGAATTTAGCTAAAATGTAGTCTGATTTAAGGTCAGACGGTGAGGAAAAAAAACGGTGTATTTGATATCTGGTGGCAGCCGTTTCTTGATGATTGTAAGAGTTTAATTCCAAATTTCAGTCTGATTTCTCATCTTTAGTGACAGTTCTGCATGAGGGTGATGAATCATAAAACTTTCTCTCACCTCTTTTTGAATTTTTTTTTCTAGAGTCCCCAGTTGTTGACGGAGGCGACCCTCTCCAGCCTGCTCCTCGACGGCGAGTCAGTGTACAGCCTAGTGGTCAACCCGTTCCTGCTGCTGCTGGCCAGGGTCATTCTCACCAAGTGCTCTGCTAAAATGGAACGCCTTCAGGTACATCAGATTTTCTCTCGCCTCATAACCGGAGCATCTGTGCATTCTTACAAAGTCTTAAAATTATCTATCTCAAAGTAAGGCCTACAAATGTCTTCAGTGCATGAAAAACTGTAAGTTGGCCTTAAATACATTAATCACAGGTCTTAAATTTTGTCATGAAAGGACAAATGAATCCCGTATATATTGCCTGTTGTTCTTGTGGGAGCTTTCTATGTTTTCCTGCAGGTTACAAAATCATAGGTAGTGTTTCCACACACAGCTTTTCTATTTTTGTATTAAATGATGACAGGTCAGAGTTTCCACCAGAAGACCTGCTAAGCCTGGTGGTGGGGGAACCAGAGCTGTCCTCAGCGGCCCACCATTTGTTTTGTATTTAGAAAATGTTAAACGTTTCAAAATTTCCCAGGTGCACGATCAGGCATCCAAATTTGTAAATAATAGCGTGAGGCCAATGGGAAGCGCAGGGACAAAAAACACTATTTAAAATAAACAACCATACTTAGCCTGGTGGGGGGTGGCAAGTAAAGCCTGGTGGCCCGCCAGGCTTATAATACACTGGACAAAAGCCTGCAGTTTCAAAGCTGCTGTTTGTTTTGGGATCTTGAGGTTAGATGCATTTTAAAAGATAATGTGTCTGGAGTCATACTAATCAGCCTTTTGTTCATTTAACCAACTATTTAGGTAACTGAAAATTGAATGCAACAGTAGAAATTCTGGATCCATCTCTGCACTCCACTGAAAGAGAAGCTGTATAGCAGGAACTGGGTGTTAAACTGACGCCAGGGTTTTGCCTCAGAAGCCGACATCACCAGCTGGATCTGGACACCCAGAAAGCCTGTTTACTGTTTGGTGATTTAGTCATAATAGACTCCTTTAATGCTAATGGCCTATAAGAGAGTTAACTACCAGCCTTGTTCTCTGCCAGATAGTGGGATGGGTGAGCTGGCCTAGTTTTTCTTCTCCTCATCTTTTAGCTGGTCATCTCCCCTCCTGCTCTCTGCCGAAACACACAGGCCGTGTTCGGACGCAGCTAATTGCCCCCTTAAGCACGCTTGACTGGCCTGCATGTGTGAATACGAGCTGCGGGACACTGATTCAGTGAGACAGACTATTAAAGGTTCGTGCAGCCGTGCTACAGAGGATGTGCTGCGCCTATACTGGAAGATGCAGCAGGCACCCGCAAACTGACTCGCAAGTAAGATTTGACACGGTTCGGTTCCTCTCCTCTAGTGCTGAACAAGAGCAGGAGGGCAGAAGGAGAAAACGTTGACTGGCTGAGAGACATCGCCGCTTCTTTCTGTTGTAGTCAGATGGAAAAAGCAAAGCAGTTTGCTGTTTTTACTGCGTGTTCAGCACTTTTCCTCCGGCGTGCGTCTTTGTGTCTGCTGGTGTTTTATTTGTGCTGATAGGGCCTGAAGATCAGCGTGTCCAGGTGAACTCTGAGCCGAATGCGTGTCAGTTCCAAACGCTGCCTCGTCTTCTGGCCTCGCAGCCTTTCACGCCTTCTGCAGCGCTGGCATTTATTCCACATGGTTTTCAAAAATAATCCAGGACATTTGAACATGAGGCTATATTGTTGGAGCATTAAAAGAGTTGATATAAAACCAAGTCACCAGTGGTGGTAGTTGAATGCATCAGTCTTTAGGACTTATCCCAGCTTTTTTGACTTAAACAAAAAGAGTCTGTCTGATAGAAGCTTGAAGATGGCTGACCTGATCTGTTTCTGGGTTGCAGCTCCTGCCCTGGTGGACTCTCCGTTACATCAACCTACACCAGCAGATCCTGGAGGCTCGCTCTCCACAGCTCCTCAGCTTGGCCCACTGCAGCATGGACAGAGGTATGTAGAAGCTCGGCTCTTAACACGGTCCAACTTTGGTGTCCACTGGGTTAAGGTTAGCTGGTACATTTTGTGTTTGAACTATTAAAATAAGTA